CTTTCCCTATCACTCCTTTCATATAGTAGGCAATAATCAGAGAGCTGCTTTTTGCTACTATGAGGTCAAAGGAAGGCCAGAAAGGAAAAAAGGGCAAAAAACCAAAGCTATTTTCCCAGGCCATTTTTGGCTTTGCACAGGAAGTCAGGGGGACATTTCCTATGTTCACTAGTATTGAGCCCAGTCATTATTCTGTGAGTAAAACTGCAAATGTTAAAGAAAAAAGCAAGTGCAGCAGCTGAGCAGTGGTGCCTCACTCCCTGTCAGGGCTCTGCTGAGAGCAGTGGGTGCTGATGCAGCCCAGCCTCACATCCACCCATTCTCCCCAAGCAGAGAACAGCAGCAGCGACCAGCGACAAGCCTGCAAGAAACATGAGCTCTACGTCAGCTTCAGGGACCTAGGGTGGCAGGTAAGGGCTGTGCGTGACTGGGGTGGGAGCTGGGTGCCTTCGCGCATCACTTAGAGCTGTAATAGTGAGATCCAGCCCTAAGGGAAGAAACTGTGCATTGCTTTTAGCATGCTTAAAAAGTGCTTCTGCAAAGTTAGGGTATACAAATATTTAGAGTGAGACTGGCTGGAAGCTCAACAGACCTCAGTCTTTTTGAGAAACTGTGGCCCTGAACTTCCTCTGTCAGTGCTGAACTCGCATAAGGCTCTCCAGTTTAATCTATCAGTTCTTTTAGACCTGTTTAAAGACATTTTAGTCTCTGAAAGCCTATACCTGCACTTCAGTGATGGGTGAAGTGATCCATGTAGTCAGCCAGGACGACACTGCTGAATGGATAATGCAGCTACTCTATGAGCACATTTGCAAAGTGGGATACATCCCTCCAGGAAAAGCACTTGCTTTTTTTGAAAGGCCAGTGTAGCAGGTTTTTATTCTGCTGGTCACTGTAATTGTATGTAGATGCATGAACTGATAGGTTCATACTATTTTACTGTTTTACTTCCTGTTTCACTGCACAATATTTCTGTCTTCACAATCTAACATCTTCAATTTAACCAAGGACTGGATCATCGCTCCAGAGGGCTATGCTGCATATTACTGTGAAGGAGAATGTGCTTTCCCACTGAATTCGTACATGAATGCTACAAATCATGCCATTGTACAGACACTGGTAGGTGCACTGTAGTTCCTAGTGCAGAGTTATATCTTATAGGTGCTACTCAGAAATAAGTTTATACACAAAAGAAATCTCTAAGCTACCAAGAGAAGGAAGGTCTGCATTAGCTCACTGAGATGCCTGCAGCATCTGGCCCAACATTTCTAGCCAAGTGGCCTGAATTAATAGTTGGCTAGGAATTACCCTGACTTTGCTGGAAGCATTGACATGCTCTCTCTAGTTTAAAAGGGCCCTGTGATAGACATCTTAATGGTATAGTCCCACTGCACAGGAAGAGTAGGATGCAAGACCTGCTATGAGCATCTCTTGGAAAAACTCTTTAAGGATCCACTGAATGCTGCTGCCAAAGGCAGATTTGGGGGCAGACTGAAGAAAGGGTCAGTGAATCCCAAAATTACACAGCCCAGCTGCTCTGTGGGTGTATTTGTTTTATGAAATTGTGCAAGGATGTCCCAGGGGGAGCCCTGAGCTGGTGTGGTCTCACAACACAGCACCTATGCACAGGGGGGCCACCCAGCCCCAGCTGTGTCACCAAAGCTAGTGCACCATAGCTCTCATCTTGGGCCAGAAGACACATGCTGGTCTCAAGTACCCTGGCTATATACAGCACCCCCAGCTTACCAGCCTGGACACCCTCCCCTACCCAACTTGGGTCCCTGGCACACATCTGCAGGGCATAAGGAGGCTCACTGCACCTTCTCATCTACATCCCGTGTCCTGTGCTCATCTAAGGACAACATTGCAAAAAGTAATAGGAAACATAAATGCTTCTGGTTTCCCAAAATATCTGTATGTTTTTCTCCTGGTAGAATGGCTTTTATTTGCTTCCCCCCTACCCCTCCTCAGAGGTCCCACAGCAGGGAGCACAGAGCACCCAGAGCCCTTGTCCCCAGCCACAGGGACCCCTGCCTGGGGCTGATGGGATTTGTCACAAAGCCTCACCCACTTGTCCTGCAGTTTATCAGAGCTGATACACTCCTGCAGAGCTCCAACTGCTCTGACAAATGGAAATGAAAACCTGCCTCACTGAAAGATTTCCAACTAGATTTGACTTGGGTGCATGTGTCAGCCTCCCTACATGCAGGGGACATCTCAAGACGTTTGTACACAAAGTCAGGTGTTCAAAACATATGTCCGAGTGAGTGCATGGGACAGACAAAAGGATGGCTGGGAAAGAAAACCATGAGGGAAGAGAGGGAAGAAGTAAGTCTTAACATGCCTCCACTTTCTCTCCCCAGGTTCACTTTATAAACCCAGAGACTGTGCCGAAACCCTGCTGTGCTCCTACACAACTCAATGCCATCTCCGTGCTCTATTTTGATGACAGCTCCAATGTTATCTTAAAAAAATACAGGAACATGGTGGTACGAGCCTGTGGCTGTCATTAGATTTGTAGTAAAGAAAAAGAAAAACAGGGGGGGGGAAAAAGTTATTTGTAAAGAGTGGTTTTGTATGGCTGTGTGGGGGAGGGGAAAAGGTTAGCACTCCAGCAATGGGTTTATAAAAATCCCAAACAGTTTTTAGGACCAGGCTTCTGAAAATTCAGACAATGGAACAGTTTCTGGATCTTAAGTGGCATTTGAACACATTTTGTTTTAGTTTATTACAGACAATGAGCTTGTAAACTGAAACAAGCCAGAGAAACCATTTAAAACCAAATCTGCCTACAAAATTGGCTCCTGCAAGACATACTTCTGCAAATGAGTCTTTCTGAAGATTGCAAACTCACCAGTGTTGATTGCAAGTTAAAACACAATAATCTATCCAAGGTGAGAATGTGCTGTGACTAATAAACATGTGTAGTTCCTGTAACACAGTTTGCAATAAAATAAGTGAACAAAATATACCTGGAGTGAACAGGTATTTTGTTAAAGCATTACTTCCATCCTCTGTTTGCTTCAATTTCATAAGCAAAAACAAAGATTAATTACACGCAACTGCCAATTTTAAACTATAGCAGCAAAAGCTGTATCTGGATTGATGCAAATTCAAAGCCAGATCAGTCTAAGAAAAACAGAGAATTTTCTAATTGGCAATCAAAAGCACTGAATAAAATAATTCCAAAGAGCAACACTTTTGGGGTATACTTTTTATCAACAGGGAAGGAAATTTCCTCTAGCAACCAGAAAGAATTTGGGTTTGCTATGAACTTGAAACAGGAAAGCAGCAGAATGTTAAGAAACAGGGATTAAACCTGACATTTTGCTGGGGTATCCTGAGCAGTTAGGGAGTTGTGTGAGCCAGCTAAAGATCCTGCTCCTGTTTGGAAAATGTCCATTGACTTCACTGACAGGACAAGTTCCGATGCTTTTTCAAAAACACGGAGGCTCAAGTGCAGAAGGTGCCATGAGCTGGGACATAAACCCACACAGGCTCAGCTAGGAACCACCTAGGAAATCTGACTTCCAGGGTCAGTGGTTACGATAAACCCTCTGCTCTGTTATTGGCTTCACCTTAAAGAACCTCAACTAAAGCCCTTTCAAGAGCTGCACCAAGCTGGAACCAGGAACAAGAAAACATCCCCTCAAGGCTTTTCTTTTTCCTTCTTTCAAAGACACAGGTTACAGAAACATCACACTTAGGTAATTAAAACTCAATTAAAGTTGTTGTGAAGAAGAATGCAAAGTAGCAGTAACCAATCACAAACCAACTCATCACTTGGCATGTGCTGCGATTACAAAAGTAGGATTGGGATAAATGTCACAGGGTGATGAAAATTCTGACCAATAAAACATCAGCTCGAAATCTCCAAGCTTCAAAAACCTAAACCTCTAACAGATGGGTCCAGAACACAATAAATGCCTGGAGATGGTTCTCTCTGTTCAGTGAGTGGACAGGGCAGTCCAGCCATAGCAGGAACTTGGCTCCATATCTTGCCTTAAAGGAGAGTTAGAGAAGATAAATGAATGCAACCACCCAATTCTAGAAATCACTCACTGCTCTTCTTCCTTTAAGTCACAGGTCAAATCCAGACCAGATGCCTCACTTTAAAAAGAATAAGCAAAGGAAGAAAAAAAATTACGATCTATGGAATAATTTGGAAACTTATTTCTGATGATCTGATCTCATTTAAGTCAGTTGGTGTTTTCCCAGCAGTTTTCTCAGTAGCAGGATTAGGCTCATGGGAAAGCAGAAGTCTCTCCAAGACATCAGTAGGTTTTGGACCAGGGCCTTGGTGAGCAGTTGCCACATTTCCAGATATGCCCAGCTTCCAACCCAGACGACTCAATCATCTGCAGGACCAGGCTGGCTGCGGTATGGACATTCTGCAAGCACGATTCCAGCAAACTTCCCAACTGCGCCAATGTGAAACTTTGAGCAAATCGTTACGGACAGCCAAATGGCAGGACAACAGCTGAAGAAGCCAAAAGACCCTCTCTCCCTGGATCATACAGGCAAGACCATCTACAATAAACAGCCAAAACTGCATTGGTGCATCTCTTATTTAGAGTGAGGTACTGAAATCACAGAGATTGGAAGTGTCTTTTGACATTGTATACGTTTATACACCAGTGCTTCTGTAAACCTCTTAAAGGAAGTTAAGGTGCTGTGTAGAAAGTTAAAAGCTAATCATGCCTAAACTTCCACTATTTAGTAGTCAAGGATTAGTTTTTCTTGCGGGTGTTTCAGTGTTGGTGGTCACTGCATTGGTGTATTGCATTTTTAACTTGGACCACAGTATCTTGCTGTATAGGATTCATATATTAAATATTATGTGGGGATTGTTTCTGTTTTGGTTTTTGTTTTTAAACATAATAACAGGATTTCTGTTGCTAGGCTCAACATCAGCTTCACTGTTTGTACATTTTTATGTAAATAGTTGTCACAAGCGGAAGAAGAATTATTTATTTCCATCTCTGAATTCCTTTTCGATCACATCCAGGAAAAATTAATCTCGGTTCCTAAGCACATTTGTTTCCTTATTTAAGAAGATATTTATTAACAGTTGGCAAAAATGCATACACATTTCTGGTTCTTTTCATAGAGCAGTTGTCAGAAGCCTTTTGTACAAACTAGTAAAATAAATCATTGCAACTTTACAGAAGATATCCCAACAACGTTGTGTATCTGTGTGGTTATTCCTATATTCAAAAAAGCTTCTTGGCTGGGCAGTGTTTAATCTTGAGCCTCTGTTTTCATGTAGATCAGTCTCTATGTACGGGCAGAACCGGTACATGTCGCTATTTGGTGTGACTCCTTCAGTCCAAATACAACAGAGAGGGAAGAATACAAAAAAATATGAATGTTTTGCAGTCTGCACTGCAAAGATCCATGATTGAATTATAGTGCAGCTGTCAGCAGCTGTTTCAAAGAAGCAGGGGGTAAATTAGTTCTGTTTACTGCTAACATAGTTCAGAGATTTAGTCATCCCAATAAAATTATAGAGGCACAAGAAAGGAAGAAAGAAACTCCAAAGGAACATCAGCCCAGAAGCTGACATTTTCTGATTTAGATTGTTTTAGCATATTTCAGAGATGCTGCTGGCATGAGGTTTCCTACTGTGGATACCATACTGCATTGCTATGGAGGCAGCTGAAAAGAAAATAATGGTCTAAATCCTCGTATTAACTAAACATTCTATCTTCAGGGCATAACAGCAATTTTGGGATTCTTGTTTACTTTGAACTGTGAGCAGAGTTGTGCCAGTTTATTTGTTGTGCCAGTAGATGTATGTGCTGATCCAAAGGCTTAAATCATCAGCGTCTTGGAGTTAAACTACCATCTTTCACAAGCAATTACAAATTTATAAGTAAATTTGCTTCATGCACTGAACTGAAGTTCAGCAAAGCATCAGTGGAAAGACCTTTACTGACCTAATCTGATGCCTACTCAGCTTTTGTATGCCTAAACTAATTTTACAAGGAGGATTCTCTGATATTTCTCAGTATGGTCCCAATTCTCTGCATTTAGACCCAGTGTAAGTCTGAGGTGGTTCCAGCTAGGGGAGGAAAATCTAATTTAAAAGCAATCATCCAGCTTTACAGTGCCAGTCTTGCAGCCAACAGAAACTTCACCACTAACTTCAACAAATCTAGCCTTATAGCATGAAATATCGGTTGGTTTCCAGCTTTGCCACAAACACACACAACTTGCTGGATATGCTTTGGAGCAGCTTTCCCAGCCTGGGAGCCAAAACTCTGTTCCCAAGCTGATTGCAGCCTCCCCTCGGTCCACAGTGCTACTGTGGCTTTGTCTCCTCATCTACTGTTCTGGAAGAGGAATTCTTGACATGAATACATACGCTGCCATAAATGGCAGGGCAATAAAACTAGCGAACCAGCTTCAAAATGGTTAGATTTATCTCTCTAATGACATTTTAAAGCACATTTAAAACATTTTATAGATCAGTTATTTTAGCTTTCTTTCAGGCCAAACTTTGAGGATGTTATGCTTGCTTAATGGAGCTGTTTTAGAGCTGTTCCAGTACTGACAATAGGATCCTTTTGTCCCTATGCAGGAAACTGCCTCCATTGCTGCCAACATTTATATAATAAAAAGATAATGATATAAGTAAGCCTTAGTGTAATTTTAAGATTCCTGATTTTTGTGGAAGTGTCAGCTGTAAAGCCTAAAACCAGAGAGTGAGAGCAGAGCTCACACAAGCACAGCTCAGCAGCATTGCCAAGTACTGTGGGATTTCATCTGCTGCTCTATTCAATCCCTTCAGCTCTGCAGGCAAGTGGGAACAGACACTTTCTGGGTAAGTCAAACCAAAAAGACTCATCTTTTGAGGTTTGAATTTGCGTCCTCTGTACATTTCCATCCAAATACACTTCTTGCTGACTTCCACTGCTGCCACAAACACATTATTCTCTGTATTCAGCTGCTCCTTTGGAGAGAAATTCTGTCCAATTAAGCTGAAAGGAGCCTGTTTGAAGTTTTATTTATCAGGTAATGATTGACAAGACCTTGAGGCAAAAACTAGGAGCACTTTATGCTACAGTCATTTATTACCCAAGTACAAAAGCTACACAAATGGCCACTTTGAGTTACTTTGTTTTAAATAAAAACATCTATTCCCTTTTCCTGCTTAATGCAATAGAATTTGTATTTCTAAACCAGAAACTAAGATAAGAAGTTTTGGATAACACACGTTTAATGCACTGATTTGTTTCCTAGCCTGCATGCTGGTTTGCCTGGGGTCTGCTGATTTGAGAGTTATTTTGATATTGTGAGGTTTGCCACTGTGGGACAGATCTGCTGTTTTTTCCAATTAATAGAATCCTTATGTTTGAATTAATTCCATAAATGAAGACAGCACAATCTTTAGACAGCTTGAGTTCGGTTTTATGTTTAAAAGGAAAACAGCACAAGTCAGAGCCAGATTTATCAACTTCATGTATTTTTTCCTCCATCTGGGAAAAGTACTGGGAGAACCAAGGGAGAAAAAGGGGGCTACAGCCTCAGTCCCATGAACCCTTAGAAAGGTAGCTTAGCACTTGACTAATTTTTGCAGGCATGGTTAAGCATTTAACCATTTGCAGGATAAAGCTCTAAGTGGGGCTGCTTGAATTAACCTCACCCTCAAAGAATGAGATGCTTGTCTGCAGTAAAACCCAACCCAGGCCAGTCAGCAGTAATCTGGGGAACGGAGTGTTTGTGTCTGGAACTGGGAGGGGGCAAGCGGCTGCATTCATTACAACATCCATCGGCCTGCCCATAATTTGAAACATGCACTTAATCTTTCTGAATGGAAAGCTGAAGTGACTCGTAAGTTAGCAGCTTTGTGCTGCTGATAACTTTGGGCTAATGGTCTTATTTTAGGCAGCTCTTAAGAAAAAGGAGTGGGGGATGCCAGGACCTCAGTAGAACTGTTGTGCTTCAGTGTGTCAGCACCAGAC